TTTTTTTATCCTGCCTCTTGCTTTTTATTTAGATTTCAGCTTGGTAGGTTATTACTTCAGCTGACGCACAATTTAACCAGCCAAGAAGTTCTATATAGAATTATGTATTAAAATAGGTTTAGACCTTAATTTGGTGTTCTTTAGGAAACAAACAAACCTTGAAGTAGTAGTTTCCTCCTCCACAACTGTATATCCAAATGCTTTGATAAATAAATAGGGCCTACGCTTCTTGGCACTGTTAAGCACAACGTATACATTCAATTGTACTAAATATCCCAGAGCAAAAACTTACTTGATATATAGTTAGCAAACTTAAAATAGGTCAACTAAACTACAGCACAGACTAGTGGTTTTGAAGCATCAACAGTACGTTATTTGCTACCTGACAGACCACAAGCAGGAGAAACCCCAGCAACCCAGCAAGATGCATATGCAGCTCACAACCTGTCCTTGTAACAAAAGAACTCATGAGCCATTTTCATTAATTAATATATTTTCTGCATTATAGTTAACATATGTACTTTCTTCGTGTCATCCTTATTTCGTTAAGTATTGATATTTTGTTATATTCAGACATGAGTACATTTTCAAAGTCTTTTGCAATAAATATCATAAAATAATAGATTCACATAATAAATATTCTTTACAATAAAAAAAGTTTTAACAGACTTTTGTTTTAAAAATAGTTGGGATTCAACTTTGTGTTTTATACATAAAATATACAAAAAAGGCCCACAATTTGTGGCTAAGGCAATAAACCAGGGACAGAATAAAATTATGAAGTACAGAGCAGAGCTAAATTCACTAAACCAAAGGATCACAAGAAACTTTCAGGATTCAAAAATGCTTAGGTGACTCAACAACACCTGAAGGCTGTTTGGATATACGAACACCACCAACTTTAATATCAACTGATACTGACACACTGTAAAAGTGGGAGGAGGGTGGAGTGAGCAATATCCTTCAAAGATTTGACAGCAAAAGAAACAAAAGAGTACGTTGCAGCCATGATGTCTCCAATGTGAAGATCTACATAGCATAGCAAAAACTGAAGTTACACTGAAAATGTTAAAAAAGGAGGCAGGGTAATTCTCAGGACTGAGAATATTCGGGGTGGGGGGGTGGAGGGAAAAAAAAAAAGGGCAAAAAAAAAAAGCACAGGCTGCTTATAAAATAGTCAGGCCTCCCATTTGGTAAAGCCTTTACTTTACATCCCTCTCCAGAAAGAGCATACACAAAACATTATTTCACAATCCAGCTCACTCATGAAAATTATTCTTCCTTGGTATCTGGGGGGGCTAATAAAAAAAAAGCAACCACAACAAACTGCTGAGAACCAAAAACATCTTTGGGAAGATATTCACAGAGCAAGAAGCTTCAAGAGCCCAGTGAGCCCTCACCATCTCTCTCAGGAGTGGTTCAGTTACAAACCCAGAAGACCCTGCCAAAGCGAGCGGCAGACACAGATACCGGGTCCACGCTTACCAACGAGCAGCAACGACTACATAAAACGCTCCACGCTCAGTCAAGTCAATAGGAAGAGGAGAGCAAAGATGCAAAGGGAAGAACCTGGGTATTTGAAGTTGGGGAGACAGAAAGGAAAGCAAAAGAACAGGCCCCTCTGCCCCCCCCCCAAAAATGGGGGAGAGGAAGGACGGGGGGGAAAGGAAAAAACAAAATCAGCTACAACCTGAAAAACTGAAGTTGGAGGAAGTAAACTTCCCTCCGAAAATCATGAGGGCTTGCCCTGACCCCGCGAGGGGCAGCTCTCCAGTTTACAATAGACAGTGTTGGAGTTCTTGCACCGGCAGCCTGGACGATTGACGCGGTCGTAACACCCTCGACAGAGTTTTAGGCACCCCTTTGCCGGAGGGTAGCAGAGCAAGCACGGCAGGAACAGGGACATCGCTCCCATGCACAGGTACCTCGAGCAGCAGTGCGACTGGGAACAGGAGCAGGGATTGTCCGCGTAGGAGTCCCCCTCGTCGTCGTTAGAGCAGTGGTAGAAGACGCCCTTGACCAGGCACATGCAGGTGCCGTACTCCACCATGCTCTCCGCTGAGCAGAGGCACTGCCGGTTGCAAGCCAGGCACGACGGGAGGGCCCTGGGTGCCGTGCACTCCCCGCACTTGCACTTCCCGCACCGCTCGCAGATAAACTTGTGCTGCCCCAAGTCCTCTTTCAGAGGACCTTTCAGATCATCCACGGTCAGAGACGACTGCTTGGGCTGCGTCCGGACGGTCCGATCGGATCGGTGGGCGGAGCCCGGCCGGGACGGAGGGGACCGCCCCAGCAGCCCCTGCTCGGAGGAGGCACTGCTGTTGCTCCCGGAGCTCGCCGCGCTCCCCGTGCTGGTTGACCGGCTCAAGACAGGAGCCCTCGCGCTAGGCTGATGCGCCGCGTGCCCCGCGTGACTGGGTCTGTGTTCGTAATTATTATTCACATTAATTGGTATGATTTCGTGAGTCCTCTCATGCTTCTCCTGCCTCGGTGCCGTCCGCGGCCCAGATTTCTTCACCACAGACGGACCTTCGGTGTACTCGTTGCTGCCCCTGATGGCCTTGATCTGGTCCAGTGACAAGATGGTCGTGGGCTGGCTGTCTCTGTCGTAGTCCAGCCGCTGCCGGCTGTCCAGGGAGGGCTGCCGAACCCTCCCCCGCCAACCC